TTTTCGAATTTCGACATCATCATTCCTGCAGTCAAAATGCTCCGTTTTTCTTTAAATTGTCAGTGTCAGGAAACTTAAATAAAAATACAGCAAAAGAAATAAGAAAGAAAACAAATTGAAGGCGCCGTCAACTAAATAGAACTAATAAGTCATTGCGATTAGTAGAGGTTTGGTACATATATTGGAAAAACCCAACTTCATGTCCCAAATTAGAAAAATTAACACTTCACAAAGTCTTGTTGAAGAACAGAAATCGGCAAATTACCGTTGCCATTGTCGACAAAAGACATGCGAAAATGAATTTTCACAATATTTGGAACGGGACAGTGAGGAGGAGGTCATTGACCGTCTCGAAAGGGTCAATCCTATTGGATCCCTCCAGTCCAGAGGCAGCGAATCTTCCTATGAAATTGAGGCCGCCAATTGTGGTTGCATCAATTGTCCTTTGAAGTTCATGTGTAAGTTCAAATCTGTCTTTGTATTTGTGTGTGTATGGAGCTTCGCTTATCAAATTCGGGCCAATTTCGTTTACCATTAAAATCTTAAGTTATATACATATGTATATATGTACATACTCGTACATATGTTACACATACGCTCCGATTGTCTCCTGCTGTGGGTGTACATATAACATATAGCCATATATATATACGTGTGTGCAGTCGCCCGCAACTGCATTTTATAGATACCGAAATGCGTTGCGGAATTGTGTCAGCAGTGTTTTTTCTCACTTCGTTTTTCCACATTTTCGCACTGTTTATTTTGCTTCGTTTAAGTGAAAAGCGACAGTGAAAATGTTGAAAATTTAAGTGAAGTTCTGTGATATGCGACAGTTCGGTGCATTCAAGCAGGCGGCGGCGCTCGTGTTATCTATCGACATATGTATATTCCGTTCCGAGTTGTATATCATCATATGGCGTTTGTGTGGGCTCATTGCCAGATTTTCACGGTCACCAACTGCTTGTATATTGTGCAAGTGAAAAATTAAGTTTTATTTAAAATTAAAAATTTAAAAGAGAATGTGCTCAATTTCACACGGATACGAACTCTTTGAGGATTATGTTTTAACGGCATATTGCAATGTGTTACGGTTAAGGGGTAACTAATGTAAATGGGAAGAAGAGTGTGCTTTTGTACTAACTATATTGTGTATGAGCAAATATTTGGTATACTGAATGGTTCTAACATAATCATAACCCAAGTCGTGGGAAAAATGCAAATTTAATTTCAGTTAATGCATAACATAGAGTTGTTTTTGCATTTGAAAACAGCAACAGAAGTCTAGAAAATATTTTTTTGTAATGTGCCACGTCTATTTGTCGCCGAATAACTGAGTTTTTTTTTTTTACTAGTTTTGCTTGCTCAGCAAGGTTAATAAAAATAATTTAATTGCCATTCAGGAGAAGAAACTGTTTCTCCAATACAGTAAATACGGAAAGTAATCCTGGTAGAGTATAGAAAAGGGCACATTTCTTTCATTTTACACTTGTGAACAGCATTTCAAACATAAGCTTATAATACATTACTAGACAAATTACTTGGTATCTCATTTAAAAAATGTGCTCTATTTCAAAATCCCAGCGCGAAATTGGTAGTCAGGGTGCTATTTTTTTTAATTCAAATTTTTTCTTTGCAAAATTCCACCGAAAAGAGCTTCCAAAAATTAGGATTCGGAAGGCTTGTAATACGTCTTTATTACTTTTAAGCATACAGTCGTGTCTGGGCATAGTGAACAGCCAAATTTTCATATGGAGTTACTCTAACAGGCCTATTCTCACTGTTACCGGTAAAGTAAATTTTGTTACTTTTCTTTTGGTATTCTGGCGAACTGGTTACAATGTTTGAAAAAAATTTAGCAGCACTGTTCTTTTCGTCCATTTCAAATAACATTTGCCAGTTGATAAAGTAAAAAGAAATATATTCACATCAAAATGGAAGACGGTGCACAAAAAAATTAAAAAGTTTTATTAATTTGTTTATTAAATCATAAATATTTGAACCTAATTATGGAAAATAAATACAAAGCTGTATGAAAACGATATCTTACAAATTAAAGGGCTATTGTTTGTCTCGAAAACTTCTTAAAATACGGCATTTTGCACTTTTTTCTTCATCTTCAATGAATTCCAGGCCTAAAATATGCCTACCCGTTTTGATTTTTTCCCAAACTTACAACCCAAAATCAAACAGCACATGTTTTGTTACCTCCTATTTCGCTGGTAACAAAATTTACAGGGTAACAGTGAGCTCAGAATACGAAATGGTAACAAAATTTACTGTATGGTAAATATTAATACCTAGTTAAATTTTGTTACCTCGACAGAATAGGCCTGTAAACAGTAAACTTACGAAAACTTTTAAATGGTGGACAAATTTCAAGCAAAAAACAAAAAAAAAATCACAAGAAGGAATCAAAAATAAAGGAGGTTTATTCCCCTAATTTGTACTTGTGTTGTTGATTGTTACAAAATCATCTGTTTCTTGACATTAGTAGCTATGTCGGCTCAAAAGTCACTTTGTGAACACAAGACTCAAACTTCAATTCGCAATTCATTCAATAAGCATATAAATATTTAAATTATTCCATTAATTTATTTTAATGGTCTCTTGAATTTGTTTACTCCCAAGGTGTATTTTGGGCAAATAAGACGAATTTTTGAGCAAAAATATTAACCTTGATATAGTGAACAACCTCAATACTGTGAACAGGCTTTGTAACAATTAGCTTACTATATCCAGACACGACTGTATATATATATATATATATTTGTCATAATCGGATAAGACAATCTCTTTTGTTATCAGGTTTTAATGCTGGTTAGTTAATTATGGATCCATTGATCAATCGCCCTATACCTATAAAAGAGATTCCTCTTACAAATCTAGATGGTCGGTGGTTTGCTTTGTAAAACAAACGAGATTATTAATACTTGCTGACGCGAGTCTGCCTCGCCCAGCCATCTTCTATTGGCCTTGCTGGCAAAAGCCGATCTTAGCAGGTACTTTTGCAAAGCTTCCGTTTGCCCATATCCTGTGTAGAGCAGACTGTGATTATCATGCTAACTCGTCGACCTCGCAATTTCCCTACATCTTATTGCCAACTTTAAGGAGGTGTGATTAATTACAATAAAGAAATTTAATAGAATATATCGCAATTCTTAAGTTGTTAAAATGTAATTTAGTCTACTATATAATAGAATAGTTTTGACATTCGTTAACTGTCTATCGCCACAGTTTCTATCTGTCGATGTTTCTTTCAAAATTTCGAGTGAGTAAAAATAGGAAATATTGGGTTGCCCAAAAAGTAATTGCGGATATTTTAAAAGAAAGTAAATGCATTTTTAATAAAACTTAGAATGAACTTTAATCAAATATATAATTGCCATTTTGTTCGATAACCTTTTGCCATCTTCCTGGCAAATTTAGTATTCCACGCTCATAGAACTTCTGGCCTTTATCTGCAAAAAACTGAGCCAAGTGGGATTTTATAGCCTCATCATTGCCGAAAGTTGTACCATTTAAGGAGTTCTGCAAAGATGGAATAAATGGTAGTCTGATGGTGCAAGGTCAGGGCTATATGGTGGATGCATCAAAAGTTCCCAGCCAAGCTCACACAGTTTTTGGCGAGTAACCAAAGATGTGTGCGGTCTAGCGTTGTCCTGGTGGAATATGACACCTTTACGATTGACCAATTCTGGTCGCTTCTCCTTGATGGCTGTATTCAATTTGTCCAATTGTTGACAGTAAACATCCGAATTAATCGGTTGGTTCCTTGGAAGCAGCTCAAAATTTACGACACCCTTCCAATCCCACCAAACAGACAGCATAACCTTCTTTTGGTGGATATCAGCCTTTGAAGTGGTTTGAGCTGGTTCACCATGCTTGGACCATGATCGTTTTCGACTAACGATTCGTTTTAAAAACGGATCGAATTCATTGCGTTTAAGGTGCATATCACAAGCGTTGATTCGGTGTGTTAAATGAATTTCAATAGATGTGGTACTCAAATATCGAGCTTTTTCACCAGTCCAAGACTTTTTATGTGATAATGAACGGTTTATTTTGGTATATTTAACTTCTCTCCTATCTCACGCTCAGTTACATGACGATCCAATTCGATTAAAGCTTTGATTTGGTCATCATCAACTTCATTTGGCCGACCTGAACGTGGCTCATCTTTAAGTGAAAAAACTCCCGAAAAGAATTTGCGAAACCAATTTTGACACTGTCTTCCTTTTAAGGCTTCATCGCCATACACATCTCGTAACTTTTTAGCAACCTGCTCCGCGTTTTTTCCTTTACGGAAGTAATAAAGTAAAATATGACGAAAATGCTCCTTTGTGGGCTCCATATTAAAATTGCCGTCAAACAAACAAATGTAAACAAAATTTCGCGCACCTTTTTTCTAAAGCAAGCTAAAAGTAACAGCTGATAACTGACAGAAGAAATAATGCAATTACAGAGTCACAAGCCGTTGAAAAAATTTGTCAACGCCGACTATATGAAAAATCTGCAATTACTTTTTGGGCAACCCAATAATTACGGAAAACCTGCGCTGCATAATTTATAAAGAGTTCAATTGCTGTGCTCTTCCATACGGCATGCATGTTATATTAAATCGTATATATTTCTACATATGCACATATGTATGTATGTACAACAGCTGAATGTAATCATTACAATATACCATTTGTTGTCATGATTTCTATATTCTATAACTACACATTTTGGTCAGTCGTAATTTATATGCGTACGAGTAATTTGGCACAGATGTGTCGCTTGTGGTGGCAGAATTTGTGGCAATGTCCAGTGTCTATTGCCCATCTACCACCTTTCAAGCGGGTGCAGCGCTTTCGTGCTTGTCGAATTATGGTTTTGCGTACTAATATAATTAGTAATTAATTTAGTGTTATTTATACATATATACATATATATATATTTATACATGAAGACATTGTTTTTTTAATCCATCTTCATTTTGTTTTTTTTTTTAATTACAGATGATCCCGCCTTTAATGAAGTTGTTTTACAAGCGGAAAATGCTATTACCGCGGGAGTTATGCCGGAACGCATCTACCAAGGTAGCAGTGGATCGTATTTTGTAAAAAATGCAGAAGGGGTAAGTTACACATATAGAATATACATACATATGTCTACCAATAGGTGAGGCGAAATTTACAAGTCTCTTGGATAATGCTTTCCAGTAGCAACAAAAAAAAATATGATCTTTGGTTGAAGCTCGTTACGAAATGTATTATTTATTATATGTTGCTTAATATAGAAAATTTCTCATAACATACTGCGTCCGTTTGTCTGCATTGCTGTCGGCTAGTTTTAGCAGCTTTGTTGGCATTCTAATTGATTTTTTCGCTAGACGCTACATCAAATGATTCCTTTACGGGGAGATTCCACGATTGAGTTGACTTTTGTGTGAATTATTGGTAGTAAAATCAAACAAATCTGAATTTTCATTCTTTTTCTTCGTTTTTTTTAACATTTATATTTTAGAATCTTAATATCAAATTTTCTGTTTAATTTCCAGAAAGTCCTGGCTGTATTTAAACCAAAAGATGAGGAGCCTTATGGACGACTCAATCCTAAATGGACCAAATGGATGCATAAATTATGTTGTCCTTGCTGCTTTGGGCGTGCCTGCCTAATACCGAATCAAGGGTAATTAAAATTTATAAACAATTTAAGTGTAGAGAAGTTAAAGTTTTTTACCCTTTAATACTCATTAGAAATTTACCAAAAGGCAAATGGTATCTTTTTAAAACGACTCAACATTGAGATTATTTTTTTTTGAAAAAACTTATACTAAAGCTTGTCGTAATTTATTTCAAATATTAAAATATTTATATGTTCTACGGATTATAGCTAGAACAATTTAAGGCAAATTACGATTTAAAATAAAAATGATTTTGTTAAAGAACGTAGTATTTTGTTAGTAGGTAATTTAAATTTAATTTAACCTCTTTGTTTCATCATTAGCTACTTGTCGGAGGCAGGGGCTAGCTTGGTAGATCGTAAATTACATTTAAATATTGTACCAAAGACCCGCGTTGTGCGACTAGTCGCCGAGACTTTCAACTATGCACGCATCGATCGGCAAAAGGCCAAACTGAAGCGACGCATTAAGGAACATTATCCGTCAGCTCATTTTAACCGTATGAGTCTGCCACTTAAGGTATTTGTAAAACCATCGAAAGAAGAACAATAATAATCTATATAATAATAACAAAATGTTTCTTTTTCTCAGACTGGTTCATTTCAGCTTTTTGTCGAAGGTTATAAGGATGCAGATTTTTGGTTGCGTCGTTTCGAACAGGAGCCACTTAGTCCGAAACTCGCCAATTCATTTCAGTTATATTTTGAACGTCTCGTCGTACTCGACTATATTATACGTAATACAGATCGTGGAAATGATAATTGGTTAATACGATATGTGCGTCCTACTAGTGCGGCTAAAACCAATGCTACCAGCAGGGGATTGCGTATAAAACCATTACTTACACCAACTAAACTAGGCGGTCAGACGCCACAACATCAGCAAGCGGGACAGACGCAAAAAACTGATAACACTCTAGATACTAACAGAAATGCAGTCGATTCTGAAGCTACAAGTGAAGTGGAAGCATCCCCAAAAGCCGAAAAAGAAATTGATAACTCGGAAAATCCAAATAAACCATCTACTAGTCAACCCAATGATACATCATCAGATGGTGAGATTATGATAGCGGCAATCGATAATGGACTAGCATTTCCATTCAAGCATCCGGACTCCTGGCGTGCCTATCCGTATCACTGGGCGTGGTTACCACAAGCAAAAGTGCCATTTAGTGAAGAAACCAAAAACCATGTGCTGCCATTGTTATCCGATATGAATTACGTAGAAGAAATTTGCAATGATTTGTATTACTTATTTCAGGTATGCGTAAGCAGAAATATAGAATATAAATAAATTAGTATAATAAAAATGTATACATATATATTATTGAAATATATTTGTAGCAAGATAAAGGGTTCGATCGTCGACTTTTTGAACGTCAAATGTCTGTGATGCGTGGCCAGATTTTGAATTTAACACAAGCACTTAAGGATGGTAAATCGCCAGTGCAGTTGGTGCAAATGCCGGCAGTAGTGGTAGAGAGGTGAGTTACAAGTTCGTGCAATAATATAGAATATCGTGTGAAAAAGAGCATATGGATTTTCTCCTATAAGTGCTGAAACATAAATAGTTTTAGAGTGTGTCTGCGTATTTCTTTAAGTCTGAGTAAAAAGCATATGATTATTTGGACTTACACATAAAATTCTTTTTTTTTCAGATCACGTGGTCAAAATAGTCGGTTCTTTTCGTTTACACAGCGCTTTCAAAATAAAAGTCCCTTCTTTTCATGGTGCTAACATGAGCACAATGACAGAAGAAATTATTATCATTATAAAAATAGTCGAAACCATCAGAAAATACAGTGAATTTCCAAAACAGCAATTTCGTTGGCAACTCGGAAAGCAGAGCAACAGCAGAAAGCGGAATTATTTAAGCATTTCGCATTTCCTGCATACTTTTGTCTGTTATGTTATAACGGTATACTTGCTTAATATGATGCGTTGCTTTCAAGTGATCCCTTGTTCAGCTTATGTGCATTGAAATAACCTAAAACTAAGTACATACCCCACGACTTTATTACTTGTTTTCTTAGTTTTAATTTTTTTTGTACATACATGTTTAAATACGTTTATGCCTAATTATACATACATACATTCATATGTGCAAAGCAAGGTATTTTTATGAGTTTTCTTAAATTTTCATATTATTTGCATAACGTAATATAAAATTGTTGTCATTGTAGTTGAAGAAAGCTTAGAATATGTTACATAATGTTATTTACTTATTAAAAAGAGAGAAGCGAACACTCTTATATGTACATTTGCACACTTATATTATGTACGCATCAAATATACATACAAGCATGTTATAAAAATCATTGGAAAAAAAATTATAAAAATTAAATAATATGTTGAATTTTCTTTAAAACGTACACAACTTAAGAGAATTATTTTCAAATGAATTTCATAACACGCTTGGATGTTTATCGCATTGCCATTCCATTAATAATAAAAAGTTGCAAAATTTTTTTTCGTGTCAAAAGTAGTAAAATATTTGCATGAAAAGATGTGATTTCCTCTTCACAGTTGGAATGTCAACATACATACGTTAAGTTTATTAACTCTCAAATCTAAAAAACACACAAAAATTCACTCTCATTCATATCTAAAAGTTCATAATGCGTACTGATATATGTAGATTACGAATATATATACATAAATTAAAATATATATATATACACATTCTACTTATACACAAATTGAAATTAATGTCATTGTTCAGTGATAGTATTCAATCCAAACCAATATATTTGATGATGTAATCGAGTACACCGATACGTTTACGATGTTTAATGCCGAAGTTGAAGATAATTGCAATTAGGTAGGAAGAAACTTATTTATAAATGTGTAATTGTAATTAGAATTTCATTCAGCGCTCTTAGTGTGAGCAAAGTCGCGAATGAAAAGATCATATAATAATTAAATTGAATAAAATATAAAACTACAGAAAGTATAAAATAATTTGTGCTATTTGTAAATTTATTAAGAATATTTCCATTAACACAAACACGTATGCGCTTGTAAAGTGACTTACTATTGTTTAAAAAAAATCGACTTCGTTTCGAATGGAAGCCCGTTTTCTCTGATCGAATATAGAGGGTACTTCGCAACGGTAGATCGAATAGTTGGCGATTTGAAAATTTTTTTGGCTCGTCTCGCATTCGGCACGATATTATCCTATTTTTATGTTTTTGGGAAGGCTATAAGAACTGTTCTGTTTTTGTTTTTTTTTTATTCATTTATTTACTACCTACGAAGGCAAAATTTAAATAAAAAATCCATATATATTTCAATTTCGACAGATGTTTGGAACTCACTGTACCTATCAAACTTATTAAGTAAGATCAAATTTTCTCGCTAAATTTCTTAAACATACCATTACTGGCGAAATTGATATAGCTGAATCGTATCTATAAAATCTTTGTATTCAAATCCACCTGTATTAATGTACTTGCAGTCGAACCACCCCTGCAAGAACGGGCTGTTGGGTTCACCAATACGCTCACATGATTTCGGGCAGCACTCACACATAAGCAAATTTTTTTGTTTATCTTTCTATTCTCAGTACACATAAATTGAAGGAGAAGGTAGTTGAATCCGTTTTATTTTATTTTATTTAACTTATTTTTGAGTAGAACGCCATTTTTATTGTTTTATCCGTAGCAGATAGCAAAGGACGTAAAAAAAATGAAAACTACTCCTGTACAAGCTGTGGTAATAATATAATATATTGTCGATTAACTAATCACTTAATTTTTCATTACTCCTTACATTGATTATATTTAAGGGCACACCCTATTGTACGGAAAATTCACTTAATGGAGCAGGTTGCCTGAAATGGATGCTTCTGACCTTGCAGCAGCAGCAGATTCCAAAAATATTCAACAAAACTTTGTGAGCTACAACTGCATTTAGACATTAATAACATTCTGATTCGAATATTCATTTTTTTATTGTACTTAGGGATCTTTATACCTCAAAGGAGCTGCGATAATGTCGGAGGCGTTCGTGGAGCTGAGAAGCTGGGTCACCAACGCATTGCACTATTAAAGACTTCTGTATGTGCGGTTTTGCTTACAATACTTTGCCGATTTTTGAAAACGAATTTATTGTTGTATTGTTATTTCTTACGTGTGTTATGTTAACCAACTACATAATTTATGGAAAAATATTGGAATAAAGACTGAATCTTAATAATGTTTGTATATATATAGGAAAGCTGATTTCCTTCGGCATCAATGCTGTCGCTCATCTATGTTCGGCTTGTACTTCAAGAATGACGAAAATGTACGAGGAAACGAAGAGAAAACGACGTACACGTATGCAAATGTAAACATCATTTTTGTCATTTCGGCCTTAAGAAAAAGATGGGAAAATCGTTCTACGATGTTACGGGATATGACATCATGCATTCCGGACATATGTTGGCTCAAATGATCGGAAGCCTTTTTGTAGGGATAATACACGATTATGTACTTTCTATAACAGCACGTTAAATAATTGTAATAAGTGCAAAAAATCGCTCAGATAGAGGAAAAAGGAGAGCATACCAAAGAACTTGGCTGCACTTGGCATTTCCAATAGGCGCACATACACAAGAAGAAATGAGTAGCGCCTATCGGCTATAATTCCAAAAGCTGTGCCTAAGCCAATTGAGTAGAACAAGAATATATAACGGATACATAACTGCCGCAACGGCGAATGGTTTGATCAACGCCTCTACAAATTATTGCTTGGGGTGTATTCGGATTTCTGGTCATATTAGTTACATAGGTATGGAGTTCCAAATTTTATTCTGTAAGAAATTTGGGAAGTTCCAACCTAAAATAATTTTTGTGTCTTAGACTAAGGGCCTTAAAATTAAAAATTATTGATCTTCACATATCACCTGAGTCCAACGGCATATCAGAATAGCTTCTATAAAGTTCATAGTTCCACAACTTTACTCAAAGGTTTAAACATGGTCAACCATTGAATGCTTCTATCGGACATTGAGGAATACTTATTATGCCCGGTGTTGCAGAGGTGGAGTGATCGTCAATCATATGGAGAATTTCGACGTCAAACATTGAAATATTAAACAAGGGGTTCTCTACTCCCATTTCTATCTGAAGAAGTTAAACTGAACTGATATGCTGATGATTGCTCGATATTGTTTGAAAGTGAATTGCTATCCCGATGATCTTTCCGCTTCTTCAAAGCAAGACAATTAAGACTATAACAAGCAAAATACTCGACTATCCTCTTCACCAGCTGGACGAATGAGTATAGGCTTGAACTCGATCTCTCTTTTACCTCCCGGGTAAAAGACAAAGAAACGTTGCTGGCAACCTACAAGGCAATTGGCCAGCCGGTAAATTATGCTGCACCGGACTAGCGAGACGCAGATGAAGAAGCTACGTGACAGCAAACTTAGACTAACTGGCCTTCCCTAAGCGAGGTTGGAAAAACCGCAATAACAACTACCCCTCCAATGGCAAAAGTCAGTGGTACCCTACAAATATCGCCGCTCAAGAGAAACGATGGAGCGGTTCCTGAATTGTTTGGTTGGATATTTCAAGGAAGACTGCCTTCAATGGAGTACTCGTAAATGGGTGTTCGGTGACTGACAGAGCTTTGCTGGATCGTTTACCGTGGGAAAGATTTAGTCATAGGAAAATGGTATCATCATGCACACTTTCCTGTCTGTTAAAGGTCATCTTACAGTAAGGGGCTAAGTGTCCTGGTTTTCAACAGTTGTATTAATTCCTGGCCCTGACCTTTCTGTCTGTTGTACTAGTGAGAATTTTTTTCTGAAAGAATTTCTTCGCTTTCAGGATGTCCTTCATTTCCTGTGTCTGAGCATACAAGACAGTTTCAGAAAATATTGGCTTAGGATTCGCATACGTCTCCCGCATGGTATATATGTCCTTTATTCCGCTAATAAACCTCTAAATTTTTTGCTTTCGAGGTATTTTTCAAAAATATTTTCATGGGCAAGTAAACCAAGTCACGCTGAGTTCGATACAGTAGCTATTTGTCGATGATGGAGGGTGGAATAATATGCATTTGTGGGACACATATATTTAGCATTAAATTTTTTTTTAAATTTTATTTTGATGAAAAATTATACAACACAGACATTCAGCTGTTAAAGCACAACTAACTTCGCGATTACTTTTTTTGACATATTCTCGCCACAGTGTGGTACTCTTCACACATACCAATCGACAAATGAGTTGAAATGAAATGAAAAGTTTTCTTAAATATTCCGGCTTTTTACTGAAAAAAAGCATATCAACCCTGTAAGTCTGTCTTTTCCAATTGGAAAAATTCAATTGTCATATTGCCCTCTAGAGTTTAACTACTCACCTTATAAAATTGTATCGATTTTTATTTGATATAAGCTGTAAAAAGTGATTTTCAAACATTTTTCATTTACTTTATTAAGAGTGATACGAATTTGTACCGTAGCGATTAGTCGATACTTTCTCATACAACACTGGTTCACGTGTCATCCAACCTATCATTCTAAAGCAGCGCTGTGAAGTCTTTTTAAACTGTCCAGCGCAAGCGAAGGTGGAGAGAAAGTGAAAATTGAAATTCATCTTTGCTAATACTCTCGATTCTACCTGACGTTTGGCTCCAAGTGCGTATGTTGGTCGAAAAATATTAAAAAATAGCAAATATTGACAGCAAAATTGCACGCGTGGCCTAGAGAAATTAAACAAATATAACTTGCCCTAAAGGGGTTGTCTAGTAGAATTTTTAATTATTAGATTAATAAAAAATCAGTGTTTGCAGCGGATAAAAGTGAAAACTCTACAACCGAAGCAGAGAACATAAAAAATTAGAAAATTCGTGATATCTTTGATTTTGTGAGAATTTTCTTTCCGTTCTGCTAGCGTCAATGCCAAAGTCAACGCTGACTGCGACGCCGTTTGTCAACTACATCGCTTTGCAATAAATTCATACTCTCGTAAGGTAGCCGCTGTGATCCCCCGCACGTTTTACGGAATACGGTTTTAGTAACAGAAAATAAAACTAATAAAAGGAACAGTATTACTACGTGTGTTGAAGAATATTAATTCTTAAGTGTCAAATAATACCTTAAATAATTAGATTGATTTTACCAGTAAAGTAGTTGCTGCAAAAACAGATAGAACAACGACAAAAATCCCACGAAAATGCTGATCAAAGAGTTGTAAGTAGTAACTCGCTCTTTAGAAATAAACAACCTCTTATTATGAGACAAATGTACATGTGTATGCTTATGTATTTTATATTTTTATTCAACGCTAGTTTATAAAATCTGAGTGCTAATAAAATGAAGTAATGAAAATTCCCTTTAACATGTTGGGCTATTAAAGTAGAATACTGTGGCGCCGAAGACAATGCTTCCACTTTTAATGTGTCAACCAGTGGTAGTGGTCCATTATATTTTTCGGAATAAACATATAATTATTTGTGAATTTTATAAGAAGTTTTTACATAAATTGAATATTCGTAAAATCAAAATTATATTCACTGTCCTATCGGCAAGAAAATTGTGACAAATCGATTTTTGTACTCTCAAAAAATGAAAAAATAAGAACCGCGCTGATAGCTGCTCTGCCTTCAGTTACTCACTCACTTATTTACGTGGTTGGTGAGGCTCTGCCGGCGTCAACGTCGCCACTGCCTAGAGTTTTGTTCTTGGCGTTGCTTTTTGTTTTTTCTTTTTTTTTAGTTGGTCAAACAAATGACTTACATATGGACTTACAGTAAACACTTGATTAAATGTTAAAAAATGCAAATTTTTTGTTATCGTGTAACTGCACTATGCCTATATATTCGAATTAGTGGCAACAAATACATACTTGACTGAGCTTTAGTCTTCAGGCGCACAACGAGGAATTCCGGCATGAATCTTCGTAGGAATTATGAGAGAGATATATTTTTCCAATATTTTAACTTTTGAAATTGAAATATATTATAGTTTATAAGTTGCTTGTTGTTAAAAATTGTTAACTTTATCCCATTATTTCTTAATGAAATGTTCACTATTCTTTAATTTCCGTTTAACGAACACAAATATTAATTCGATTTGATTAAATATTTTCACTTATATTGTTTAAATTAACGCGCAACGTAATTTAAATAAACATTGAAATATTTTATTATCAAGCTCACTTAAACATGGCTGCATACTAATCTGGATGGTGTTGCTGTACAGGGTAAAATATATAAATTCAACAATATTAAAAAAAAATTGGAAGGTATTGTCGTACCATGTAAAATATATATAAATTAAACAACATTTTTCATAAAGGTATTTCACTTAAAAATACTGTGCAGGGCGAAGCCGGTGTTGGTCCGGCTCAGGGTTACAATACAAACTTTTAAAGAAGTTTAACTCAGAAATACTGTACAAGACGAAGCCGGTGTCGGTCCGGCCAAGGGTTTTAATACAAAGCGCGTACTTGGGAATACTGTGCAAGGCGAAGCCAGTTTGGTCCGGCCCAGGGTTAAAATCCAAAGCTATACTAAATGTCGCCAACTTACAAAGGAGTTTCACATTGTTTAAATTTTTTAACAAAATTTTTATTTTTTAAAAAAAGCTTTATTTTATTTTTCTTATCGTTTTTTTTTTTAGTGGGTGGCTATGCCTGTCTAGACAAAATACAAAAAAAAACAGGCTCTATGCTAAAGTATTATTTTACTTAGTAAACTTAGCTGGACCAAAGTGAACGTAATTTTACTTTTTAAGTCAGCTGGAGAAAAGAAAAAAAGTTTTGGAATCCAGGCATTTTCCTTTTTCCATCCATACAAAATTTATTTACGAAAGCCTACGGCTTTAAACTAAAATTTCCCGACATACTTTTATAGCGTAAAAGCCTACTGCAGCTTGGCGTACGTAGTTTTATAAAACCCAAAAGTTTGTCCGCGCACGTCACCAACATAAGTAAGAACGATAACTCTACTAATGATTTTTGGTAGTGGTTAATTTGGTAGATAACAGGTAACAATAGTGCAACAAAATTTCACCTCAAATAAATTAAGGAGCAATGCTCAGAGTTTTGAAATTTTTTAAAATGACCTCAATCCTGGCGGACACTTGGTATGGTTTAAAACCCCTGCCGGGCAGCCCCAGCTGAGAAAAATTCTATTTAAATTTACATCATAGATTTTTTTTTTATTACCAAATACGAAAACTTTATTAAATATATTTCTGTTGACTCGAACACTCTGCAGCCGAGAAGCGCAATTTTCGATGTTTTTTGCAGCAATTTGGGTCTTATGTTAGCGATGACGAGCCAAACATTCTCTTGCAAGTCGTAAATCGGTTCGGGCTTCGCTGCATAGGCAAGCGGCTCCACATAACCTCACAAAAATAGTCCTGCCTCTGCATTTATTTTGCTTATTATATTTTATCTAATTAAAACTAATAAATAAAATTACATCCTAGTTTGATACAATCGAATTTCTAAATTGGTCAACTGTCATCAGATGTTTTATAGTTCATTTTGAACTGTTGAATGTAACTTCGAATCACTACTTTTCCAGTATACCCAAAATGAAATTTTTACATATCGAATTGAATTTTCTTTTTATTCCATTACTTTTCTGGAACATGGGTGAATATACAATATTTTTTTTATTTTATAAAAAACTATAGAGTTTGCTAGTTGGTTGGGCCTTGATTAATCCAAAAACTAATCCGTGTCACCAACTATTGGATCAACTTGTGTCTTGCTACCACGATGTTGTTAACCGCTGATTGCTCATGTTTTAACGATCACAATTAGTGAGCGATAATGCATGTGCTCTATGAGATTTTTACTTTTGTACATAAAATGTGCGGAAAAGAAATTGAGCTAGTTTCGTTTCGTTGGTGCATATGTTGAGAATAGAAGTATATACATACATACGTACATATACGTACAATTTTTCCAAATGTTCTACACTTGTTTATTTCCAATAAAATATTAATTTAAGTTTATATGATATATAAATATATATATATGTGTTTTGACCAATTGTATTCGAAACTAAACACAATATAATCCACTGTAGGTACTCAAAGTACTACATAACTATTTTTATGTACGTGTATGTATTCCATGGATTACTCGGGTGTCATGCAAAGAGGGATTATATGGCCCAGCCATAGGACATCGCAATACAAATGGCACCATATTCTTGGAGTATATATTTCACGCGTGAAGAGAGTAGTCGCGTTGTTTGTAGGGATGTATTATATTAGACGATACATACATACAGTGGCTCAAAAATGAACTCGGACACCCAAGTTATATTACTTCAAAAAAAAAAAATATATTAAAATGCATATCGAGGGCATTCTCTTTAACATATATTTCTATTATACAAATGTCTTTTTCAAAAGAACTCGGTCGTGCATTTTCAGTGTAGTTTTCCAAATGAGCCCACAGATGTTCAATTACGTAAATGTCTAGAGATTGATGAGGTGTTTCAGTCACTTTAGGGCTTTATGCTTGGGATCGTTGTCTTGGTGGTACTGGAAATTGTCTTTAATTCCCAACTTTTCCGCACTTTGCACTACATTTTCTTTTAAAATGGTCAGATATTGCTTGTGGTCCATATTACCATTTATGAAAAAAAAAATTCCATCTGCTGCGGACATACAACCCCATACCATTACTGAGCCGCCCCCCTGTGTATAACAGTCGGACGTATATTATTTTCTAGCAACTCTTCATTCGGTTTTCTCCAAAAATGAGACTGTCCATATGACTTAAATATATTGAAATTGCTTTCATCTGCAAATAAAATTTGTTTTCAGAATTGAAAATCCCTATCCCCATGACATTTTGCAAATTCTATATTTTTGTTTCGGTTAACCTCGTTTATAAATGATTTTTTCCGTGCTACTCTTCCATTATAATTATTTTTTCGTAAGATTACTCGGATACTCTCCGGATTACAATTTATATTCAGATGTTGCAAAACTCCTGTCGAGAGCTTGGGAGCGCTCATGTTTGGATTTTTTTTTTTTGATTTGTTGCACTCTCCACCGCTCATCTGCAGCCGAAAGCAACTTCGGTCGTCCAGATTTCTTTTTGTTTTCCACGGATTTTGTTTGTTTGAATCGTTAAATCATGCACAGTCGAGCGGGGTCTGCTCACAATTTCTGCGATTCCCTAATGGTTTTTCCCATTTCAAAATGACTAATAATTAACTTCCTTACTTCAGTTGAACTTTGTCCTTTTGAACTTTTCACCTTTTTTTCCAGAAAAACACTTCTGAAATTTTATGCTAAGCTATTGTATTACGTTTGATTATACACATATGTGTTTTTAAACGAAAACAAACTATTTGTGGAATTACCCTTTTTAAAATGCCATGGAACTGATTTATTACCAGATGTCTGACTCTGACATCTTTTTTGGCAAAATTCTATTGACACATGTTAATTTTTTGAAGCAAGGGTAAAGGAGACCTATAAACTATTTAATTTGTTTGTTATTGGTATTTTTTAAATCCTTATTGGATACCCTATACAAATATAAAAAACAAAGAAGCTTAGTGTCAATTGGTTAAAAAAAAAGTCTAGCTTGAAGTTGCATGTTAATAACAGTGGAATGTACGTGTATGTCCGAGTTCTTTATTGAGCCACTGTATGTAAATAAAGGAAAATAATTAATACATATTTTTTTTATCAATTACTATTAATTAGTGTGCAATTCGCATTTTCATTTATATTATAATATGAATACAACATTTTTTCCAACAAAATGCGACTAAGATTTTGCCCACAATACCAGAAATGTGCTTAGTGGTTTTTTAAATTTAATCATATTTTGCGATAATTTCATATGTTTTTTATTAGGGCAAACCCAAATAAAGTAATATAATAACATTATGTATGTTGAGATGTGAACTTTGTGACAACTAAATGAAATGTACTTATTATATATATGTACATATATGTACATGCATAACAATACGCATACTTATTTGCATCAAGGATTTGTCACTTAACGTGGACCTCTGTATTTCTATTACCGTATTTCCTTACTTAAACATGTGTTTAATGCAATTTCACGCACAAAGCACAGAAGAGAAACGTAACAAAAAGGAAAATATTACTGCACTGCACCTCAAAAGATGAGCAAGCGAATTGTACGCAAGTGCAAATTATTCCGCACCTATGTAATTGTGTAAACTAATGAGCCTCCTTTG